CAAATACATTTATTTGAGGACTTTGAAGTGATGAACGACATTGATAGAGAAAGTCCCTACAAACTCTCTTTGTAGATATGAAAAAATGGTCTCAGCTGCCCAATCACAATGTTTTTCAAAAGGAAAACCTGCCACAACAGCCCCCACCCTTTACACAAGGTTTTTTATCGAAGCTAAAACCTTGGGTATTTTTCAAATTTAGGTTGGTTAAACCCTCTAACTGTCCAAACGTAAGATCTACGTTGTGCACGTAGCTCTCCGCCCTCGATTTTTCTCCATAAGAAAGAATGTAAAAAAAATGTAGATCTACATTTGGAGCGCTACGCAAGCAAACGTAGATCTACGTTTGGACAGTTTAAGGGCTAAATACATGAGTGAGAGAGGTTGGATTTGAGTGGGACTTGCCCCTGAGCAAATAGAATTATAAGAACATAAGAAAGGGGGGAACACTGCAGCAGGCCTGTTGGCCCATACTAGGAAAGGTCCTTCACAATCCATCCCACTAACAAAATATTTGCCCAACCCAATTTTCAATGCTACCCAAAAAATTAAGCTTTGATAATTCTATTTGCCCATGTGCAAGTCCCACTCAAATCCAACCCCTCTCACTAAATGTAATTTATCCAAGGTTTACCCAGATTTAAAGCCTCAATAACCCACCATAGGCAGATGTTCTGCTCATAAACTACCCTATTTCCAAACCAAAATACTTTCCTGTATCCTTTCTTAATCTAAACTTGTCTAATTTGAATCCATTACTGCGGGTTCTCTCTTGGAGAGATATCCTCTAGACCTTATTTATATCCCTTTTTGATACCCATCTTCCACTTACACACTTCCATCATGTTCCCCTCATTCTTTGTCTAACAAGTGAATGCAATTTAAGGGTCTTAAAAATTTTCTTCATAAGGAAGATTTCTAATGCTATGTATTAATTTAGTCATTCTACACTGAATGTTTTCTAATGAATTTATGTCTATTCTATAAAGTGGAGACCAGAACTGACTGCGTAATCTAGGTGGAGGCCTTACTTATGTATAAAGCTGTAATATAACCTCTGAACTTCTGTTGCTTACACTTCTTGATATACATCCCAGTAATCTGTTTGCCTTATTATGTACGCTTAGGCATTGCTGTCTTGGGTTTTAAAGGGTTTCTGCTCACCATAACCCCCAAGTCCTTTTTGCAGTCTGTATGGCTAAGTTCACATTATTTTTAAATTATAAGTACTAGGGTTATGGACACTTCCTGAACTTCAGAACCTTGCATTTATCTACACTGAACTGAATCTGCCATTTTCTGACCAGGTATTGAGTTTGTCTAAATCCTCCTGAAGTTCCCTGATATCTAAAGTTTGAAATCAATTATCCTAATTATCTTTGTGTCATTGACGAATTTACTCATTTTCACTTGTAATATTCCCCATCAAGATCACTGATATATATTAAAAAACAACAACGGGCTAAGACTGATCCCTGTGGAATGCCACTTGTTACAGATCCCCACTCGGATTTAACCCCATTTATGCTCACTCTCTGCTTCCTGTCTGTGAGCCATGACTCGATCCATGAGAGCACTTTTCCCCCAATGCCACAAGCTGCCACTTTCTTTAACAGTCTTTGGTGCGGTACTCTATCAAAAGCCTTACTAAAATCTAAATAAGCAATATCAAACTCTCTTTCGTGATCAACAGCCTCAAAAGCTTTACTGAAGAAAGTTAATAAATTAGCTAGACAAGAATGGTCTCTCATGAATCCATGCTGAGTATTATTAATCAGATTATGCTTATCAAGATGGCTGCTTATAATCTCAGCTATAATTGATGTTGCGGCCCCTGCCAAACTAGCGGTTAAATAGTTAACCTGCCGGCCGGCAGTACCACTGCGTGCGTCATCAAACCCAATGTGGGGGCTGCTGAGCCGGCCTTAGAGCAGTAAGAGCCTGAGTGCCTCACGGTACACACCTAAGCAGTAGGTACCTGACCACCGAAGGGTACACGTCTACTGGCTTTAGTAACAGTATGTACCAGAGCGCCTCGCTGTACACACCTAAGCAGTAGGTACCTGACCACCGAAGGGTACACGTCTACTGGCTTTAGTAACAGTATGTACCAGAGCGCCTCGCTGTACCACCTAAGCAGTAGGTACCTGACCAACCGAAGGGTACACGTCTATGGCTTTAGAAATATTATGAAACCTGAGCGCCTCGCTGTACACACCTAAGCAGTAGGTACCTGACCACCGAAGGGTACACGTCTACTGGCTTCAACATTAAGTACCTGAACTCCTCAGGGTACACGTCTATGCAGTAGGTACCTGACCACCGAATCGTACCTATCTACTGGCGTTAGAAGAACCGCTCACCGCAGCTCACTGAGTCTGTTGGCCTCAGTTACTTGACGGCCGCATTCAGTGAGCTTGCAGCATGGTGTTCGGCTAGCGGTGTGCCCAACCGCCTTTGGAGAGGATTTACTGGACTAACCGGTGATGTCTGTGGACTCACCGTCTACGTTGATCAACTGTGGGCCGGAGTCGTCAGATGCTGTTTAGTGGGACATTACATGAAAAAAAGGGTTTGGAGTTTTTACACTGAACTGGGCCAGGACCGTAGTGTGACACTGAGGGACGTACGATGGAGTGGAACACTGAGATATGCACAGGACCGTAGTGGAACACTGAGATGAAAAGGGTGTCGTGGGACACTGAAGATGGCCTTGGTTGTAGTGTACACTGAACAGTGTCGTGTGACTGACTTCGTGTCGTGAGAGGCAGTTGATTGTAATTTATTATTATAAAAATGTTATTTATAATTTATTATTTTAGTATAGAGATATATATATATAGTGACAGTAGTGTCAAAGTGGTACCCTGTGTAGGGTTATTAATTATTTTAGTTAGATGCTAATTATAATTTATTATAGTAACATGTACAAATATCATAGTTC